TGACACGGAATGTGCAGTTGACTTATTGTGGAGTTAAGGACGCAATAACAGGATGGCTCCGTTGTGTGTCCAGTTTATGTGGCGCTGTATCCATAGCTCTGAATGAGCATTCATGTCGACAGCAGGTATACTGAGATGAGATTTGGGACAATTTTTACTATCCTTTGTGTACTTTTTGAAATTTTTATAATAAATGTATTGTCTTAGGCTGGGTTCTCTAGAGAAGCAAAACCAGTAAAGCACATAAATATATGTAGAGAGAGAGATTTATATCAAGGAAATGGCTCACGGGGTTGTAGAGGCAGTACTGTCCCAAGTCCTTGGGTCAGGATAGAGGCTTCTGATTCACGTAGTGGAAGGGGCTGGTGAACCCAAGATTGGCAGGTCAGAGAGCAGGGCTACAGGCTGCGAAGAATGATGAATCTCAAGATCAGCAGGCAAGACTGCAGGTAAGCTGCTAGCTCAAGTCCCAAGAACCAGAGGTCAGATGAACAGGAGCCAGCTGCAGGATCCCGAGTGAGCAAAAACCCACAAGCCTTCCCAGAATGTCCACTTATATTCATTGCAGGCCACACCCCCAAGGAAACTCCCTTTCAACTGATTGGCTACTCACAGCAGAGCCCATCATGGAGGTGATCACAACACCATACGACTGCTGAACCACTGAGAATCATGGCCCAGCCAAGTTGATATCCACCTTAACCATCACATGTATCATATCATCATAAATATATACAGTTTACATGGGGAAATAATATTCTTACCAAGATAATGGATTGGGGCTTTCAGAGAAGAAAAACCTGACATTTGTGAAGTGTGCCAGGTTCAGCTTCCTGTGCTCTTTATGAAACATGGAACTGCTCTATTCACATTATGGCATCCAAAATTCACTGTCATGGTCTCTACCCTTAGGTTTCGTCATAGAAATGACACATCCTGGATGCAGATTCTCAAATAAATAAATGTGACAGCAGCCCACTCTAAAAACCAATTACCACTATTGATTAGATTTCTGGAGAACGCCAAGGAGAAACCCTGAGTCAGCAGCCCCACATCCTTGCTCCTTCGGCCGAGCATCTCCTCATTCCTCTCTTGGGTCCTTGAGGTAGAGGGCAGGATTTGTTTTTTAACTGATGATATTACCATTCATCTGGAAAATTAGGTGATGTGACCATGTCAGTGTACTTTGCTGCTGCTTCATATGTTTGCATCAGCAGCTCCCCAGTCATCACTCCTTTCCTCCACTTGACCTGCCTTCATTTGCCCGTTTCAATTTCATGACCACCATCACCCAACCATGCGAATGACAGAGGACCAGGCAGCATTTTGT